TGATCAATGGTTTTTTCCCAAAAAAAAAAAAAAAAAAAAAGACTTTTAAAAAATAAAAGTTACAAATGCAAGCAAAGCAAAAAATAACATCAAGAGTAGGCAGAAAATAGCCATCTCAGTACCTTATCTGTAGCTTCTGTTCTCCTGGTTCTTTTCATGATCTCCTCAAGTCGCTAAAAGAAAGGAAGAATTGAGCAAGAGAATCTATATTGAAAGAAAGCTAGCCTGGTGCATTTCACTGATGTGATAAATAGGAGATTATTAAAACATGACTATTATTGTGGGAAAATATAATATGCACTCTTAGTCTCAAAAAGGCTGGAACTGGCTTAAGCTACACGAAGTGGACGTAACTGTTTTTAGAGAAGGCTGAAACTTTGGGAGTGATTTCTTTGGAGAAGATTATTCGGACTGAGGGCTACTTTATCTGGAAAAGATAGAACGCATTTGTTTTCTGATGGCAATAAGCTATCTCTTGGTCACTAGATGGCTTCAAGTGCAAAAAAGAATCAGAACGATTGTGTCCCAGGCTTCTGTGCAACGCACTACCTTCTTTCTCTCCAGGCGCTCCTGCTCCTCTCTCTGGAAATGCCTCTCCCGTTCCTGCCGGACCCTCTCTGCTTCTTCACGAACACGAGCCTCTTCTTCTTTCTGAAAACAAGAAGTTGGCATCTGCTTCTGATGGGCAGGCTGGCTTTGCCTGCTGCCCCGGTCTCTCAGTGGACACCCAAGGTGGAGGCCAGGTGCACAAGACCAGAGCACGCACGACACACTGCTTCATTCTGCACTTTTCTCTGCTCACCTGAGCCGAGTCCCCATCCACCTGGAGCAGGGGCAACGCCGAGCCGTCTGCTCCCCAGCGCCTTACCTGCCTCTGCAGGCGCCCTGCCTGCTCCCTTCGCAGCTGCTCTTCCTTCTCCTGGGCTTGCTCAGCCTCCAGCTGTCGGGCTTCCTCCTCACGGCGGGTTCTCTCTTCAGCTACCCTTTGAGTCAATTCCTCTCTCTTTTGTCTGGGAAAAGACAAAAACAAAACACAGACCCATGAGCGGAATTCCTTGAAGAGGCCTGAGTTTGTGGTCATGGCAAGGACAGTCTGTTCAAAGGTCAGGCAGGAACATCTCCACTGGATACATTCGACATGGTTAAGGGACAAAATGTAAAGCCACTCTTTATTCTTCCTTGCCTCTTCTCAGCTTCATTGCTGCCTGTGGTAAACAGAAGCAAAATGTAACCATGAAGATTTTGAGGAGAGCTTGCCTTTTCAAAGGATCTGCAAATTAACTATCTTTAAAGGCTGAAACTTGCTTAATCCACATAATGAGACTTTTTAGGAATGAATGTGAAGGCCTCCACTCCTCCATAAAATAAACCTTCGTAAATAAATAAAGGTCATAATGTTCTGTCACAGGAGGAAGATGGGCCATATGAACTCCCTGTTGGGACCAAGGGCAAGGCACATCCAAGATGGTGGCCAGCACTAGAGGTAAGATCCTTTCCCAAGGTGCTGTTCTTCCCCCCCCCCCCCCCCCCCCCCC